GATAATTTCTCTCTCTCTCCTCTCTATCTCTCCAAACTTCAAAGTCCCCACGTGCAACGCGCTCGATGGTTGGATGGTTTGGGGCTGACCTCCTTTCCGGAAGCTTTACAATCCGCTCATACTTGGCGTTCGCGCGAGAGGGAAAAATCGATACAAAGAGAAATATATCCGCGCGCTGGAGAATGGCAGTGAGGGCAAATTCTGTCAGCCTCCCGCCTGGCTCTTAGCGCGTAGAAGCCGAGGAACGAGCACTAGCATCTAGCACGCGATAGTTGCCAGGATGAAGACGTTTGCAGGGTCGATCGGCTGCGCGATCATAAATACAGCGAGGACTGGAGGCTAGGAAGGGATGCGCGACTTGAGCGCCAGTCCGCTCGTTTGTCCGCCGAACGCGAACGTTTATTGACCGACTAACGACTCCCTGCCCAATATCGCGCCGTGCCGATGTACATTTCCACGGGCGTTATGGCTCGCAATTGCTTCAGATTTCGTAGACTCGGCTAGCTCGTCTTCGGCCAGCTACCACCACCAATTTAGACACTTCGCATGGAAGTCTTCTGGAATCGTCCTAAGCATTTTTAGGCCCTTCGATCTTGGTGTCTCAAATGCCGAGCCACTGTATAACCCTGCATTATAATGTTGCTCCTAGTGACTTTCTCAAATCGCAATTCAAATCATATTCGAAGAAAGACTATTTTCTATATTCACGCGTTTCACTTTTGTCATTTCAAAAGTACTATGGAATACGCAAGTCCTTATTCAAAATACTCGGTGATACGTGCGCCGCTAAATTTGTAAATATCGCTCCAATGAATTGGAAATTTCAATCGGAATCAATGTACAGACTGAAAGTAGATCGAACATGTTTTGAATATATTAGCATCGATTCGTAAAAATGATTGTCAACGTACGGGTTCGAAAATCGTGGCCTTGTATTCGAATGACAATAAGATATAATTGCTAAAAAATGCAATGAGCGAGAAGAATACAAAGCTCAATAAATAAACCATTGATATGAGACAGTGAAATGGTCGATGATGCAGTTTTCAGTGGAATGAAATACGTAAGTCTTAAATTCCCGGTAAAGCGATTAGAAAAGGCTCGCATTCCGGCACGCTGATGATGTATTTACGAAGATCATTTTCCGAGCACTGTGAGAGGTAAAAGTGCAGCTGCGTAAAACTGCAACAACGTCGATAAACATCTAATGTCGGCATTTAAAATGTGTTCCAAGCGTAGGACCCAGAATGAACGTTGTCAGAGGAATGATTGTCGATTGAAAAAGTAAAACTGCGAAGCGAAGGTAAACATCGGATGCCGAAGCGCGTGACTTTATGATAAGGTCTAATCGAGTTAGGCATTAGTCGGTGGCGAGCTAGGCGTCTCGGAAAAATATAGAGCAAGCGGCGTCTTAGCGGTGGTAAATGCACGCGCGCTTGCGGGCGAGGGTGAGAGAAAGAGAGCTGCAGCCAGCGCTCGCCGGTGTAATCCAGTTAGAGCTTTGGACTTGGCGCGCCGCGGACGTGAGATGCACGCACGACTGTAAATTCCGCTGCTGGTTAGACGGTTTATTATCGATATAGGCTGGCCGACTGGCAGCAGTCGTCGGCGCGATTTCGTAGCAATTGTCAGTGCGCGTCGACGCATACACAGTTACTCGGACACACACACGACCATCTGCTTGATTAATTGAGTGTATTATGGTAGGTGCTAGAGAGAGCGTGACATGCCACAGCTCAATCGCTTTAAATGTGTACGCTCGAGTGTCCCTCATTAGAATGTGTGCCACACACAACGCTATCACCGCCACTGATCATCTGCTCGTACATCGTTTCCATTGATTTTTTTACATCGACGACCTCTTGAGGACATTTCTACATCTGTAACGTGCCGTTGTTTACATAATTATACTTGAACAGCTGCACCACTTGAAAATGTTCGAGAGAAGGCCTAACACAATTGGCTTTAAGAACACACATCGTGGTAATTTACTCGTTCCAAATGCTTCGCGGGACTAAAAAATCGAAACGCTTTTTTTAGCCTCTCTCTTTCCGGATACCCAGTCAATATTGGCTGTACAAATATTAGCAAAAATAGGCGAATAAATGCTTGCCGCCGCAAGCGCAGGCAGAGTCGTGCACAAACGGAAGTTGGATAGATTAGCTTGACAGTGGCGTCATCGAAGATTAATCGACGCACATAGCCCGTCGGCAGCGGAAGCGGGCAGGGATAAATTTCAGAATATACTCGGGTGGCAAGTGCGCAAAGAAGGCCGCAGGCTCATCGTTGCCGGTTGCGAGTCAAGTGAGTCAACGTACATACGCTACAGGCGAATCTTCGACTCTCTCTTGCACGCGCATCCAAGCAGTTGTGCCACGCGGAATAATAATCTTGCGAGTGCCGGTTGATTGCGCTTGAACGCGCCTGGCACAATCCGAGCGAGTTGAACGCGTGACTCTTGCCCTCGTTAGCTTTTGTCTCGCGACTCCGCGACCTCGCCACCTACCTTTTTTCCTCGTCGTCGTCGTCGTCGTCGTAGTCGTCGTCGTCATCGTCGCTTCCCTCTTTCCGCAGACGTTCGCCCGATTCGAGCCTCTGTTTAATTACTCGCTTGACTTGCTTTGCCGTTGGCGCGTGACCCTCCTCCCCTCTACTTCTACTTGTTTTTCTTCTCTTTTATTTGCTCTCCAGCCACACGCTCGCGCTCGCGCTCCAAAAGATCCCTTTCGAAAAACTGCTAAATTACTGACAACTACTGCCCCTCGTCGGGCATTCTTCATTATCTCTTTCTCTCTCTCTCTCTCTCTCTCTCTCTCTCTCTCTCTCTCTCTCTCTCTCTCTCTCTCTTCTTTCTCTTTTTCTTTGTAGTGCAAGTGACTTGTCGCTCGCGTTGCAAAGCGTACCGACTCTTTTTGCCACTGCGGCTGTTGTTGAAATATACAACGACGGACAATCATTGGAGCTTTTCTTCGATACAGTAATTTTTAATTGCATTAATAATCTCGAGTAGCATATACACGATTACGTTTGCGTTGATTGTCGACTTTCGAGTAATAGATGGTCTTTCGTAGCAAACAGTTCTGGTATAAAACAAACAGTGAACGATTACGCAAATGACGCGAATCGCGATCGAACAAACATAGCTGATTCAAAGTAATTTATTTGGAGAACAATGGGTAAGAGAGCAAGCGATTGGGGAGGGGGGGGGGGGAGAAAATGATATTAGCGTGAGAGCAAATAATTGGCCAAGTAAAAATAAAATAAAATCAGTCAAACCCTCCTAGGGAATCAGATCGGAAAGCAGTAGCAGAGTGTGTAGTCCCTCGGCGCGGCTCTAAAGAAGAGGGGCAGAATAGAGGAGAAGAGTACGAAGCAAGGAGGTCGCTCTTGGAGGAAAAAGCACGCTGCCGTTGCATCGTTCTGGCGACAATAATATCTAAGCAGGAGAAACTGCCAGCTCGTGTGTCCTTTTTCGTTGGGTTACGCGTGCGCGCGCTGGCCAGCGAGCGCGCGCGCGCCCTGTGTGCGAGTCGCTCGAGACTCAGCTAGCTGCTGGCCTCCTTGACCCCGTTCTCGCTCCCTTGTATTTTCGCGCCGGCGGAGTCGCAGTCGGAGTCTGCGGCGCCTATCTTCCTTCTCGCTCGCACGCCGCCGCCCGAGCATTTTTCCCTTGCAAACAGCACGGCCCCTGCCAAGGTTATATATGCACGCCGCTTCGGCTGTCTTCCATCCTCGCTCTCTGTCTGCCCGTATATCGTCGGCGCATTCGTTGCGCGTGTCCCAGGGATGGCTTTGCGCAACCCCCCAGCCCATGCAGCTCGCGGAATGTGCACTTATATTCGCGTTCGAGCTATCTCTAGAAGCCCGCGAGCTTTTCTTTCGTTTTCGAGCGCGCAACTCGCACATCACAGCCAACCGCTCCACAGTATAACCAACGTACTCCCCAGCTCTTGTTTGTTCGAAGAACTGTCACTGTTTAAAAACACATTCGCGCTTCTAAGTTGAAAAGAAAGACCATTATTCTGGCATTATTGCGCAGGACTGATAGTCTGGATGATACTGTCCAGAGTTACCGATGTGAGGAAAACGAGTAGACGTGTTCCCAACACGTATCTCTCCTTCGTGCGCAGAACACGAGACGAGAGGCGTCGAGCTCGCGGGAAAAGCAAAAAGCACGAGCCCGCTAGCTATTATAAAGCGCCTGTATAGCGAAGAGGCAATTTTTATTTCGCCACGGCCACATCTGCTTCTGAAGGGCCGGCCCCGAAGAAGCAGGCTCATCTGCTCCGCCGTCGCTTACGTTTTGCTTGACGCCACGCGCTGAAGCACCTAACTGACGCTGTTCTCTCGCGAAGATGTTCTGATTCACCGGCAAGCAAGTTCACGCTAAAAGTTACCCAAGCGACGCGCCACGGCTTCATATTCTCGTCTAACTTTTTTGAATTCTTCCATTTAGCAAAACACGCGCTCTCTCCTTTGTATTCCACTAGTCCTGTTCTCGCATATTCATCGATCATATATGATATACACGATCATTGCATTTTCCAGTAATCCGCTTGAGTTTGACTTTTCGCCGTGTACGAGTACTTTGTTTATTCGAAAAGACACCTGATGCCTCGTACGCGCGTTGCAGTTAACGGCCAGCGGGATCTCTGCGCTGCTTATATAACTTAGACGAAGCGCGCGCGTACGTCACGTAAGGCTCTGCTCATTATAATAAGAAAAGGAATCGCGCTGACCTTTTGTCGCTGCTTGCGCTGCGGAGTTCTGCGTATTCCGAAGCGCTGCCATTGGCATTACGGCGAAGGTTATGGATTTGAGGCTGCCCCCCAGCAAGTCAAATCGAGCCTTCACTGGCGCGAACAATGCGATAAGGAGGCAGGGAGAGTAATCGGCAATCGGAGAACGCGTCGATGCTCTTGCACAGGATGCGCGCCGTAGCGAGAATTACGCTAAGCATGCGAGAGCGAGGCTTTGATTGTGTGCATGTGCTGTTGCAGAGGGTGCTGCTGGCAAGAAGGCGCTGGGAAGATTGGCGCTGGTCGGGCGGCGGGAATAGAAAGCCGCTCGATCGTCGGGGCTGAGGTTGTAAGCTTAGAGGCCAGATTGATCGGAGGAACTACGTCACCGCAGCTGGCCGCAGCTGGCCGCGCCACGCGTCTCCGTCGCCATCTCCGGGGAAGTCATTAGCGTGGAAAAGACAGCACCGCCGGCCACGACTCGTCGGTCGAGGAGCTCCGAGGCAGAGCGATGAGCACGCGCTGCGCGAGTCGACTCGGCTCGGACTCGGCGGCCAGTCACACGGCTCGGAGAGTCGGCGAGCAGTGACCTAGAAAGGAGCCGCCGTCGCCGCGACTGCCGACGACGACGACGACGACGACGACGACGACTGGCGCGAGAAGGGGCACGTGGACGGAGGTCAAGCCGATCTGGACGGGGCGCCACTGCCGCTGCCGCTGGCACAAGACTGAGGAGGCCAGGACAGCGAGGCAGTGAGGCGACGTACGGGAGAGAAGGCTGGCGCTATGCCGGCTAAGCGGCTGGCTGGGATCGTTGTCTCTCGGCAGCGCTGCGCTGAGTCGAGCTGCTCCCGGTGCGCCTGCAGCAGCTGCAGACTGGCTGATCGGCCCGCCGCGACTCCAAGCCCGGAGACATCGTCATGAAGTTGTCTGTGTCGGCATACAGAGCACAGGCAAGCGCCCAACGCAAGATCCTTAGCAACTACCAGCACCAGCTGAGCTACGGTGCCACCAATCAGGCCTCCTCGGCCCGCACCCCCTCTGACCCCGCGGCGGTCCTTCCTGGTCTCAAGGTGCGTATGCGTCCACCTTACTTTTCGCCACATTTCTTACTGTCCCGCCGTCTCTTCTGTCACGAGCTCCACCCCTCAATGTTATCTGATTTATCGTGTGTTTGCCCAAGCGCTCGAAACTGCGCCTGCGGTTAACTTCCAAACGACGAACCATGCCAACTCTTACGAGTAAAATTGTTGTTCCAACTTTTGTTGCAATTCGATAATCACAACAATACATCGGTACTAGCCGAGTGTCGAGATCATATTGGTTTCGATCAGCACTGCGAGGAAGATACTTTTTTGCCTTCCTTTGCGGCGTTCTGCGATTTCCAATTCCATTTACCAACAGAAAAAGAGGTACTATCTCGTGGACCTCTTCCACGCGTATATAATGTGGGTATCGCTTTTTAGCGTATTTTGAAGCGTATAATATGTACAAGCACCGGCTTTGCACTGCGCTCGTATTATAGGAATCAGCTTGCTTCGTACGCATATATACAATCGCATTCCGTAAAATTTGAAAGTAGAGTACTGTTTTTTATTCTATTATTAAATAAATGAAGTATTGCTCGTTTGGTTTAATAGCTGGCTACTCGTGTGACTGTAAGTCATCGTAAAACAGAAATGAAAGCAGTGTAAGTGGTATGGAAACAACGTGCCTACTAGAGCTAAAATGTACATGAAAGAGTCGAAAAGATGAACGTTAAAAAACACTTGCGCCGCGCGCAAGTGGATATGCTTAATTTCGCTCGGCGCCTTATCAGCGACGCGCTCGCAAGTTCACATCCGGTATGTACGTGCCTATATTTTATCTACAGTAAACTCGCGCGCTCATTTCACCCGATCCTAACTGAGTTTGCCAGTTGGCACACGAGCTGCCTCGGTACTACTGGTAAAAATAGCGGTCGGGCATTTAATAGCCTGTGTTGCATATAACGACGTGCTTGCCTAGAGCGCAACGTACAATTTAGGATGTATAAAATGCGTGCGCGATCGCTCGAGCGATCACATTATTACGTCTCGTGCGTGCAGTTTTCCTGCATTTCGGTACTCCGCGTATACGACGATATCGCCGAAATCGCTTGATCGTTTCACCAGCAACTTTGCGTCGACGTGAACGCGCGCGCGCGCGCGAGCTATATTAAATAAACACCGCGAGATGTCATTAACTGGGAACTAACGTGCAGTTCTATCGAGGCTATTTGAAGAAAATTGAGGCAAGCCACATAAATAGTGGATGAGGCTGCAAGCCAGGTAATTAAATGGAGAAGCCAAAAGATGAGGGGCACGCGCGGAGAAAGAGAGACAGAGAGGCAAAATCCAATTTCTCTAATCACCGCGAGTATAATCGTTCGGGCGATTCATCCATCAATCTGGCAGGCGCGACGCCGCGACACCCGCAGAGAAAAATAGGACGACGAAAGCGTGAGAGGGGTAAAGCGGGAAAAGCCGTCGGAACGAGAAGTTAAAAAAAAAACAGACAGAAAGGAAAAGGAAAAAAGGAAGAAGGAGAGAGCGAGTGAGAAAAAAGAAGACCAGACGTTGCTGGACCAGCGCGGCTGCCGGCAACATTTATGACGACGAGCCAGCGCGTTGCGTATTCATCCGCAGGCGTGAAATTCAGCGGCTCCACTCGGCCATGTGCATTTTCCGCGTACTGAGCAGCAGCGTTAATAATAAGGTTAAGACCGCTGTGAATTTCGTAATTAGAATCCATTCAGAAACTCAGCATAAAATTTGCATTTAATACACATACACGCGCGCGCGCGCGTGCGCCACTGATATTTTTCAATCCGCGAAAGAATATTTCCGATACGTACATCTCGTCTCGTTTTTTTTTCAACTGGAAAAACATCGTTCCTCTGGCTACTTGCAGTCATTTAAAAAATTATTTTTAACCACGAGCTTTTCCGTGTTTTCACTCCGATATAGCGATTGTTTAACGTGTCCTTTCTGCAAAATCATGAAAGCAAGTTGCCAATTAGAATTAAGTTGATAATATTTATTAGCCAAACGGCTTTTCTATTCGCTTAATGTCATTAGCCTCAATAATCAATTTGGTCGAAGCAATCAACGTAATTACACTCTCAACTATTCAAGCAAGTAAAGCTTAGCGCAACGACGTTCTCTTCGATAAATGAGGTGGCCTCTACAGTACGTAGTCGACTACTAGTGCGTGTAGCAATCGATTGACGCTTTGCGTGCTAAAGACGACAAACTAATACCTGTCTCAAGCTGACCCTATGTACATAAGTCAGCTCTTATTAGTTTCCTTTCCATCTCTAGGGCATTCCTAGTCATAATTATATTGAGATGTATTTGTTACGTCATTCTTAACCTTGTTCGCGACAAAGCATTCGACTTGCATAGCCTTTTCTTCAATGAATTTTCGTTTCGCAAATAATATTTTTATTAGAGCCAACGAGTTAAAAAAAACTAATTTTTCATCAAAAATCGTTTTATAATTTTGGCCATTGTCATTATTGCGTTTATTAGACTTTTCATTGTTAATTAATTGCTTGCTATCACAATTTTCAGTGAAATTTTTAAACACGAATCTTTGTATTATAACGTACCCATGCTTCAATTCATTTTTAATCGAGCGGAAAATAGCTTCAATCTGAAAATAAATGTTCCACGTGAACATGGATATATACGAGCGATCGATTATATGCAACGAGGCAAGCTTGTGTACTTTGATTAATTAAGCGAGAATGTACTTTTAAATCAAACCCAAAAACTTTGGCTAATCCAATTTGTTTACCCTTGCAAATTAAGCCTTCACATATCAATTACATATTTTTAAATGTAGACAGAACAAATGTCTACAGCAATAATATTTTCAATTTATTCAACTATAATTCAATTCAACGATTTCAATTAAAATCATACGATTTTAAGGTAGTATGAATAAACGTAGAACACAGAGTGAATAACTTACTATTATCGATTAACGATGGAGGAAACGTTGCAATGAGAATTTTTCTGGTATTTCTTATCGCACAAGTAAGAATTTGTAATCCCTGTTATGAACTATTATACATTGAACGAATTCCTTAGGTTGAATTTTCGCTCTGTTTTATATAGATCAAAAAGATTAGATCATTAACGAAACTAATGAAAAACTGATATTGTTTTGTTGGCTAGACTTTTATAGGATTATGACTGTAATAAATCTTAAAACATTTCCAAGATCGACCTCATCACAAAAAACACGTTCTTTTTGACGCATCATGCCAACCTTTCATCCTCGAACAGAATCATGGGAATTCTTCGGTTTTTCGCATACAATTTTATTAACAGCTTAATTTATTCATTTGAAAATATCCCTTTATATGCGCGAATTGAGAAAAAACATACATGTAACAAATAATTTCTCTTTATGGCTGCAGCTTCGAGTCTGGATGTCACAACTTACTCCGAGAGCACGCGATCGTAGAAAATGCCAAAAAAACGGCCAGCGGTTCGTATCACGTTTATAATATCGCTTTGTTTTTCAACAGTGTTTCCTTTTTCTCTATATTTCAGTTTGGTATTTGAAATCTCCTACGCATACATTTACTTTTTTGCCTATACTCAAACATTTACCAAACTCATCTACATACACATTTTGTAAGCGTATTTTAGCCATATACTTTTATCGATCCTCTGCTTGTTCACCTGCACCTGCACGCCTAACCTTCATATTCATTATTATCCTCATTATTCATATTTTCAATACTAGATAGAATCTTAATCTCTTTTATCTTAATCAATAATAGTAGATTGATGATGAATTTTCAACTTCAGAATAGTCCTGATTTTATTATTTTATGCTTCTTTTTTTTCTTGTAAAGTATTAATATTAACTTTTTAGTTCAGATTATAAAGGTAAACTGGATTTCCTATATTTACTCTAAGGCATTTTTATCATGAAGTGTATTTAATGTTAGAATAGATTGATATGTGTTTTTCCATTATTGAACAATATTTAAAGTATAAAATCAGTCTATATATAGTGATCCTCCATGAAATCCTATACTACAGTCTTATCGCAAAAAATGTTTGCCTATGAAAATAATTAAATATGATGATAAATGTTAGTTGTAGGCATTGATGTGTATTTAAAATGTATAATGATTTTATTCATAAACACGATAGTAACCCTAAATTATTTTTGATAAACATTTACGAATGAAAAATATTTTGCTTTGTAATGTCTGAAAATATAATGATAATAATGAACATAAAAACATTAAAATTATTAGAATTGACAGTGTGATGAACGTCATTAGTTTACAAAAGGGCACTAGCTGATTTATTTGTATCATTTACTTACGCTGTATCTAGTGTGGATTGAATAGCATACTTTTAAAACTGTTTTATTTTCTACATAACTTTGTGTCTGAAAATTGTAAAATTATTTCAAAAGTTCAAAATTGTTCAATATACTTTAACAGGAATAATTTCAACTTTATTTCTTATTTAAAAACTTACATATATTATATATAATAGATCAAACTGAAAATTATAACTTGGTGAGAGATTTTATTAAAAATGATTGTCAGATAATTAAAAAATTTGATCTATTGAAGTTTACAAGCATATAAAAGTTAATTTCACCTTATAATTATATTTAAGAAAAAGACTTTCCAAATTATATTTTCTAATTATTTTACGTAGACTAAGACGAGATTATCAGGAATATTTGTATCTGACAAAAGTATGACAAAGGTTTTAAAAAATTACGAAACAAAAAATCTTTGACCATAGCGACTTGAATAGCGAGCCTAATAAAATACACTGTTAAGTGTTACTTATCTAATTTCGCTTTTTAAGATTCTCGCTGGGCCGATTAAAAAGGACAGTAAAAACAGCTTGCGCATTTGTATTTCTACCTTTGCAAAAAAACTTTGCTGGATCTTACGACAGCTCATCAGAGGTTTTCGTGTAACTGGTATTAATTAGATGAATTGTCCGTGTACAAATGAGCGATCGTAAATAAAAGCGGGTTTCCCTTGATTGGCAACAATGTGTATCCATTGTTCTTGTGAGCCACTGTTTAAGGCAGAATTCTTATGAGATACCAACAGTTCATCGACTACTCGGCTACGTTACTATTGTTGAAAGTACGCGAACTGAGTAGTAGAGAGGGTTAGGGGACAAGAAAAGAGAATAGCGTGAGGGTAGAGCGAGATTGAAAGAGAGAGAGAGAGAGAGAGAGAGAGAGAGAGAGAGAGAGAGAGAGAGAGAGAGAGAGAGAGAAGATTAGAAAGAGGGACGTGAGATCTTGATGGGATACTTTATTTATGTGAAGAGACGTGCTGGTACTATTGTGAGTGGGGAATACTTGTTACTGTTCAAGCCGCGTTGGGCGTACCAGTTGAAATAAGCCCTGGGATCGCAGCAAATCACTCGAAATCGTGCATTGCACTCGACTCGCTCGCTCCGCGACAATTTTTTATACGCGGGTTAATCCGTGCTCGTTTGACGCTGATGAACCCGCAAAACGTCTGCGAACGATATAGAGATCCGATGTTTAGACAAGCGTGCTGTGCAAATGAGAATAACAAATCGATGTAGCTATTCGATCACTCGAAAAACAGTAGGATTGAAAATAGTTCCATTAACTGGATAAAATGACGCGCAGCGGAATGTAAATTAAGGGGGGGGGGGGAAGTACAGAACGAACGTTGGCCAATTACGCTTGAGCGCCGGGAGAGCGGCAAAAGTCGATTGGGTAGTTTCTTCGTCACGCTGCGCAACGCCGTCGGTGATTTTACACGTCGATGGCAGCTTGTTTACGCGAGCGATAGCTCGCTTATATTGCCGTGGCAGAGAGCCCGAAAGAGCTTGATCTCGTTCAAACTGTTCGGAGAAGGGATCGCCTACTTGACTCGCGTGATGCGAACTGCCTATTGCCCGACGGTTCAATTTTTCGATATGTCTGCACCGACGACGAACGCCTCCACTTTTTAGCGCACTTCAAATGGCTTGCAGATTAAACGTATTCTCGCAAGAATTATTGCGCCGCACTGCTATCTCTTGCGAAATGCGCTCGAAGTAGAACACTGTAATCTTGAGACTCCGTACTATAGGGCTGCTTTTACTTCAGTTCTACGTCAAATAAAGAAACTTCAATAGAGGCTAGAAGTCAATCGATCGCGACTTGGTGGCTTATAAAAAAAGTCAGGCGCTGAGTCTGCTTTATCCAGCCGTCCCAAGGTGTAATAGTACCGTATTCATGTGGCGGCGGCGGCATATCGTTCAATTTATGCTCGTAGGGCGTCACACTTATGCGATCGTCTACCGAGTTGTGCACTTTTAAGCTTCGCCCTGGCAATCTGACGTGTGCATCTGGGCGAACGAGGCCAACCGCAAAAATGGATGGTGCTGCGTCAGAATGAAAACGCCCGAGAAAAAGGCTGACCGAGATGAGAAGGGAGGAGTGCAAGAAACGAGAAAACTTAATTTCATCAAGATTCCATTTGGTCTTCGAGTCTGTCCGTGCTTTTTTTTTCGCTGCGTCTCCTTCGCTTGACATTGCTCATCGCGCAGCTCGCTCGGCGCGGTTGCACAGTCCAGCGAACATTTCCCCAAAATGGGAAATACATACAAGCACGCGAAACTGGCGTCAATCGTGGAAAAGCGTGAAAGGTTGGAAATAAGGCTATAGCAACAGCCGCCGACGGGATGGAAGAGTGAAAGAGAGAGAGCACGAACTGCACGAATATTCGCGAAGAGGAAGAGTAGTGCGAGGCGCCCATAGGCACGATGAGCACGCGCGACATGCGATCGAACTTGAGCTTTGTAATTGCAGCGACGCCGTGCACTCGTTATTAGATTCGACTTTACGGTTGATTAACTCGCGCAAAGAAGTGAAGTTGAGGAAGAGGCCGACGGCTAAAATTTGATTATCCGCCTTACCAGCTGAGGGGACTCGGATGAAAAGCGAGAGCAATGCGCTTTCAATTGAGCCGCCTCGTGGAACGCGTTCGTCCAGGCTACGTGCCGAGCATCAGCCTGCTGACACAAGCTCGCTCAATCACGTCGACTGGCTATTTTAATTATGACCAGATCACGCTAAATATTGACGTCGAGCGCACAGCCAAGATTGCCATTGTCGCGCGCACTGTAAATCCCTGCGCTAATCGCTTTGGCTTATTCGTTGAAGTGATCGGCCATGCCGCGCAAGCTTCCGCAAGCTCGCTTAGCTTATTGCCACTTGGCGCCCCGACCACTGATTTCTGCTCGCTGCGCTGAACGGGAGTGCACCGCTTCTCGGCTCTCTCGACGATCCTCGATGCAGTCGTCATCGTTGACCCGCTGCTCGCGCAGCTGTCCTAGGAGAGGCGCCTAGCTGACAATCGATAAAATATTGCTCGTGAGATAGCCTGTGGCGCGGCGGCGATCACGTGACACAGCTACGAGCACAAGTATAATGCACGCTCCAAGTATAATGCATGCATGCGTGCCACGCCACTCGCTCGAGCGTCTGTCGCTTTTTGATTGAGCTTCATTGGATTGTAGCGCCTGTAATTTACTTAGGGCAATATAATAACCTTTATGCGATTTACAAAGAGCGCCGTTTCCACTCGTGTCCGTTGCATTCAGTTGCGCTCGTGTGCATATCAAATGCGTGGTGCGCCCTCGCACTGCCGACGCGCCTCGGCAATCCTTCTTGCCGCCTGAGTTCGCGCTCGCGCGAGAACGAAACGCGATTGTCCTTGTCGCGCCACTCGCCTCTGTCATCGCCAAGAACTTTTGCGAGGCGCAGATGTTGCCTAGAGCCGCGCACTTGCCAAATGGAAATTCGAGCGTGCGCGCGCGATCACTTGTGACGATTGGGCTCGCCGAGTATAACCGGTGAAAATCAGTGCACGGGAAATCCAACGTTGGCTGCTTAAACATTGACCGGACGCGACGCGCGTACGTATATGCGCAGGCGGTTATCGGCAATTACGGGAGATCGCTGGATTCTCCCTCTGGATTTTGCTTCTGTCTAATTGATAACGCCGCAACAGGTAAATCATGGTGCTAGGTATGCTCTGCGCGCGACACATCTAGACCGAGCTGCCTGCGTCTAAGTACGCGATGCCACTGCTGCCAGTTTCGCACACACGAGCGATCTCCATGCAATCACTTGTTTCTTTGTTTCATCGACACGTATAGCCAATCGTACCAATGCCCAGTGAAAATTAGTTTATATTTCTCGATCTCTTCACTCAGTGCCACCACATTATTTCATTTACATTTGCTTTTGCGCTGTACAGAGCCGATATATTTTATAGTCTATACGCGCGTTTGCATTGATATTACGATCGATTATCAAGGATATCAAATACTAACGTTCGCTTGTCGAATAAGTGAACTTTTCACCTGGATTATGATACTGTTGTATTCGATAAGCGTGGAAAATGTTGCAGGCGATCAATCAACGGTATAGCTTTTCCCCATTCTCTATGTACATGTACTAGTGATATC